GATAAGAGAAAGGGGAGAGTCAGGGATTTATTTCCTTAAATAAGTTAAAAGGAAGCAAAACGAATCATATAAATATAATATAGAGGGCAGGAAAAAGAAATTAAGTGCCCACCATGTGCTAGGCACCTTTCTTCTTAACTGTCATAATAACAACCTGTGGGGGTAAAAGATTATTATTCCTATTTTACAGATAAGAAAGCTGGGTGCTCAAAGTGGTTAAGTCACTTGTGTTAAGTCATAAAAATGTAAGGGAGCAATTCCAAGATTCAAAACTCAAGTCTATCGCTTCTAAAGCTTATCTTTACCCTTTCCCATATTACTTCATTGTATCTTTATACAGATATGACAGAAATTTAGTAACTCTTAAGTAGCTATAATGATATATTGTAATGGGTGATCAGTATCTATTGTGCTCTTTCACTCTAGAGCTTGCTTTATTTAGTTCTAGGTTTTATGCTTGATATTTTAAAATTTTTTTCTACTTTATTTACTTATTTATTTATTTTTATTTCAGCATATTACAGGGGGTACAAATGTTTAGGTTACATATATTGCCTTTGCCCCACCTGAGTTAGAGCTTCAAGCATGTCCATCCCCCAGACGGTGCACACCACACCCATTAGGTGTGTATATACCCATCCCCTCCTCCCGGTTCCCACTTGCCCGACACCTGATGAATGTTACTAATATATACTTGATTTTGAATTTAAGTGTATGAGTGATGCTACCAAGAAAAGGCAAGCCAGTAATAACTGAGAAGATTTAAAAAAGAACAAGGTGATCTTGGTTTTGGATAGGGACTACCTTTAAGGCAATCTCTATCCTCCTCCTCTACATAGCTAAATTTGTTTAAAAGACAGAAAACAGGACATCTTAACCTTGATAAATGAAGATACAATATAATAAATTTCTATAAAATTGACTTGTTCCAGAAAACCAAAAGGGCTTTTGGGAGAAAAAGTAAAAATAAACAATTTACTCTAAAATTTCCCAGGAAAGTACATTCTAACAAGATGAGAAACAAAAGATTAGTCATTGCCCTTTCTCAATAGAGACAGAAAAAAATAAAATTACATAAAGGATTATTCAAATACATTTTAAAAATTCCATCCAGTGCATGCTAGCCTTCAGGGAAAAAAAGAGAAGGGGATATAAGAAAAAAAAAAATTTTTTTTTTTTGAGACAGAGTCTCGCTTTGTTGCTCAGGCTAGAGTGCCATGGTGTCAGCCTAGCTCACAGCAACCTCAAACTCCTGGGCTTAAGCAATCCTTCTGCCTCAGCCTCCCGAGTAGCTGGGACTACAGGCATGCGCCACCATGCCCGGCTAATTTTTTCTATATATTTTTAGTTGGCCAATTAATTTCTTTCTATTTTCAGTAGAGATGGGGTCTAGCTCTTGCTCAGGATAGTTTCGAACTCCTGACCTTGAGTGATCCACCCACTTTGGCCTCCCAGAGTGCTAGAATTACAGGCGTGAGCCACTGCGCCCAGCCAAGAAAAAATTTTTTAAAAATCTTCTAGCTGCTCATTTCTGTAAAAGAAAACATAACAAAATATAGGAAGAAAACCCAGAAATTAATGACATAAGTAATGATACTGGAGCAGGGTGGAAGTAGTGGGAAATGGGAACAGGTTAGTAGGGGTAAGGGGAAATAACACTTCTGAGAATGGTTTTTGTGTACAGTTAAGAATCATGGTAATGTTTCACATACCCCCCAAAAACAAATTAATTAAAATCAACCAGAGTGTGAGGAGAACCCCAAATGAAATATAAACAGTAACAAACAAACAAACAAACAAACCCAATGATATATAGTTGAACAACAGAATTACACTGACGGTGAGGAAGAATTCACCTAAGCTGCAAAAGTGTTTTGAACGTATGCTATAAGGCTGATGACAAAAGAAACAACACACAAATATTTCTTACTTAGGAAGTTTGTTTTCTACAGGGGTATGGGTTAGCAATTCAAAAACCACTTTTGTATATACTAAGATTGAACAAATAAGTAATATATTGCAGATAATGAGAGCCAGGTTTTTTACTGTTGACAAAAGGAGTTGCAACTGAGCAAAAGGAGAACAAACTTACGGTATTGGATTGGAATTGGAACTGTCAGTATGTATTCATGGTTCTTTGTGTGTATACACACACACACACACACAGCCTGGTATATTAATCGAAATACATATACATGTGTGTGTATGTGTGTTGAGGTACATATACTTCCTAGCTCTGTCTGCTGAGAGGTTCTAGCAGCAATGATATCCATGTCATAGCAGGAGAATACCTAGCACCCAGATTTTAGTTTCTAAATATCATTTTCCAATAAAAAGAATCAGGGCTCCTTGGAGAAATGGTTGATTCCAAGCCTGGACAGGGACATTTTAAGATGAGCCTCGAGCATCTTGTGGTATCAGTAAGAAAATGTGAAAAACAAACAAACAAACAAACAAACAATGGAGGTATGTTGAAAGGACATAGGAGCCAACTTAAAGGAGTTTACAATGGTCAAATCTGAGACAATTTGAGCAACAACATAAAAATAGTAATGAATAACTTATAAAAGAAATATCCATAAGTCTAGGTCCGTACTGAGATAAATTAACGGAATTAATATACAGGGGAGAAGGGGCAGCTCTTCCTTATAGTGGAATTCCAATGAACAATGTAGAAGGAACAATGGAAATAGAAATATTACCATTAGTCAAATACTACCGTAATAGCTGTTGAACTAAAAAAATCATTAAAGGATGCCAAGATGAGTGTGTGAAAGTGATGTAAAACAAGAATGTTTCTCTGCTAACAAGATACTTTGTAATTACAAAGAGAAAATAGTAACTTTGCAGTAGAGAACCATGGCGGACCCCACCATAACCCACTGATGTAGTTAACATAACCAATATGAGACACCAATATCAATATATCTCTTGATAATGATGACTCGAGAAGGGCACATCGTCATTTTGGTGGTATTTTCCCCAAATCACATCACCTCAATCTAATCATTTAAAACATTGGGCAAACCCAAACTGAGGAATATTCTACAAAATGCCAGTTGCCCTCAAAAGTACAAGTCACAAAAAAGAAAGAAACATAAATACAACGCTGGATCCTGAATTTGATCCTGGACCAGAAAAGGACATTAGTGTGGTTAACTGGTGAAATTCAAATTAGATCTGTAGAGTAGTTAATAGTACTGCATCAATGTTAATTTCTTGATTTTGATAAATATACTATGGTTAGGTAAGATGTTAACATTAGGGGAAGCTGGGCAAAGCATATAAGGGAACTTTCTATACTAGTTTTGCAACTTTTCTGTAAGTCTAAAATTATTTCAAAATAAAGTTAAAAAAAATGACTCCCACCAAATATATTACTAAAAGCAAGATTTGATTTAATTTAGCCTGCTCCAAAGTCATCTCTACAGTGGTAGTTTTGTGGTACTGTCTATAATTGGAAAAAGTTTTTCTTAATTTAGTTAGCAAAAACCTCCAGCTTTAAAATATAAATTATTGAATCTAGGGAGTTCCTGGATCATAAGAATAAACTTTTGTATATGTGCCTGAAATTTTTCATAAGAAAAATTTAAAATACATGTTATAGACAAACTTTCTAAGTGCTTTTTAATATAGTAAAGATAACTTTCTATCATTCCTATAACTTTCAGAAACATTTAAAATTCTACCATGGTTGTTTAAGGGCAAGTAGGACCTTAGAAATCAAGAAGTCCAAGCCTCCTTCACTGCACAGGAGGGAAGCTAAAGCCCAAGGTGAGGTCTAGATAGAGCCAGCTAAGGCCAGAGCAGAGTCTGGAACCCAATACAGTAGTAATATGTATAACTGCTTGCAAAAACAAGAACAAAATAGTATATATGTTAAGAAACTCAACTATTGGCCGGGCGCTGTGGCTCACGCCTGTAATCCTAGTGGGAGGCCGAGGCGGGCGGATTGCTCAAGGTCAGGAGTTCAAAACCAGCCTGAGCAAGAGCGAGACCCCGTCTCTACTATAAACAGAAAGAAATTAATTGGCCAACTGATATATATATATAAAATTAGCCGGGCATGGTGGCGCATGCCTGTAGTCCCAGCTACCCGGGAGGCTGAGGCAGAAGGATCACTCGAGCCCAGGAGTTTGAGGTTGCTGTGAGCTAGGCTGACGCCACGGCACTCACTCTAGCCTGGACAACAAAGCGAGACTCTGTCTCAAAAAAAAAAAAAAAAAAAAAGAAACTCAACTATTTTAGTTTCATGGTTTTTTAAATTTTAACTTTTTTTTTGAGACAAGGTCTTGCTCTATCGCCCAGGACAGATCGCAGTGATGTCTTCGTAGCTCACCGCAACCTCCAACTCCTGGGCCCAGTGATTCTCCCGCCTCAGCCTCCTGAGTACCTGGGACTACAAGTGCAAGACACCTCGCCCAGCTAATTTTTGTATTTTTCGTAGAGACAGGGTCTCACTTTTGCTCAGGCTGGCCTCAAACTTCTGGCCTCATGCAATCCTCCTACCTCTGCCTCCCAGAGTGCTGGGGTTATAGGTATGGGCCACCTGGCCCAGTACAGTTTTAAATGAACTTGTTATTTTGCTCCTTTTTCTTTTCTTTCTTTTTTGTTTAGAGATGGGTCTCACTCTGTTGCCCAGGCTGGAGTGTGCAATGGCATGATCATAGCTCACTGTAACCTTGAACTCCTGGACTCCAGAGATCCTACTGCCTCAGCCTCCTAAGTAGTGGGGACTACAGGTGCATACTACCACACCTGGCTGGGGTTACCTTTTATTTATTTTTTAGTTTGTAGAGGCTGGTAAGGGTGCATGGCATGCATGTATTGAATTAATATTTACTAAATGAAGTCATTATTAAATAAATGTTGAGTCTAAAACTATTCTTAAGATATATTCCATATATTTATTTCTATAAATAGATTTTAAAACTCTCCATTTCACCCACATAAATGGAACCAACTTTTAAGGACTAACTCCCTGTCACGGGAATACTTACTTTCCACTGTTGCTCCTTCATTTGGGTTTGAGTATCCTTCTCCTTTCCGTTTTATTCTCCGGATAATGCCTCCATCTTCAAATAAATCCTCTCCTTTGAAATCGAGGAGCTCAATCTACAAAGCAAAAAGGAATTTGGCTGAGAAAAGGCCAAATAAAGCCAATTTAACATATATAAAAGCAAGGGCAACCAATTCTTTCATTTTACAAAATAAAACTCTTTTTTAGAAAAGATATTTACCTATGCATCTCAATTATTGGAAAAGTAGGGAAAAAGAATATTACACTTTTCAATATTTCATTTAATGATAAACCAAAGACAAGAAATACTAGAAAAACTGCCTTGTGGGCAAAAAGCCAGAGCTACAAGGGGCTGGTTTTGCAGAGTCAGAACCATTCGTCTGTCTCTGAGAGGTGACTCTGAGAGGGTGACTCTGAGACCACCCTTTTCTCATCCCCGACTTACAGAGTTACCTTCTTAAAACATAAAAATAAATCCTGTGAATCTGGCCAACAACTGACTAAAGGTACATTTTACCTAGTTAGAGTGGTTCTTCAAAATCAGGCTTTGCCAATTGTGTAATTCAACACAGGATGAACAACACATTATTACCACTGACTGCTTCTAATGAAGTGAGACCTGTGACATTTAAACATTTATAATAGGAAAATACCTTGCAGCTTGGAATAGGCATAGTTTCACATTTATCTCTAACATTTCCAACCTGTCTTCAGGTCAGTTTTAAGTACGTCACATTCAACCCCACTAACCAGAACCTTTATTTGTCTAGTGTCCAGTCTAGTGTCTGTTGTTTATTTGGATACGATCTTTTCGAGCTAGAGACACATTTCTAAGAAAGCACTGGTACACACCCCTTGGGTTTATGGGAAACAATTCAAGAAGCCAAGCTTCAAAATAAATAAGTTGGATCTGATTCTAAAAAGTAAGCTAAGCTCCCTTTTCCATTGCCTGTTGCTTCAAAGCCATTCCTATTGTAGAGCAGATGCTGACAAGGCAACATCACACACATACTTGCCTCAAAAAAGAGAGTTGCGTTTGAGGGAATTTTAGGGAGACTGCCAGCTGAGCCATATGCATATTCTGGTTTGCACAGCAAATGGCAGACCTCTCCTTTCTTCATGGTGGCCACACCAATGTCCCATGCCTTGATAACTTGGCCTAAGAGAAAGGAAAAGGTAGTTGAAAGCTATAGGTCATATTTTAAAAGACTTAACTTTCATAAAACAAAAGTTCAAACCAACTTCCAATTCTTTATGCTATGTACTCAGCTAGAAAGCATGGACTACAAGATGACAAAACTCAGTGAAAGCTACACACAAAGAAATAAGTCATGGTTTCTTTGAAGACTATCAGAGAAGATTTCCTGCTGAGAGGGAAGAAAATAATATTATTCTTTTTTTCTTTTAAAAGCTCTGTATTTCTGCCTAAATACTGTCAAACTACTCAAAGATTAAGTCTTTGAAAAGCACCAGTAACATTATCCATGAAATGTAGCTATGTTGCAATTGTTGCTTAATTTATCATTTTGACCACAATAATAATAAGTGCATGTTTTCTAGGCAGAGACAGAACAAAAATAGTATTGAAAAATGGAGTCTGTCCTAAGGAAGCTTATAATTTAGTTGGGTAGACAAAAACAACAAGAAACAGCCAGAAAAGTATAATTTGCATAAAAGGGTCCATGAAACAAATTCCTTCTCAAAGTTTCGAATCAGAAAAATGTTTCTTTAAACAAAAAGGTACATGTCCTTTTGTTAAATTACATTAACTGCAGAATAAGAATATTTTATTTTTTGCCTACTTCCAGGAAACTAAAAGTTAAATTTACTGCTCAGCTGCAGAACTATATTAGGATATATAATTGTAATCTCAATATTTACAGTTCCTCTGATGTATATCATTAACTTTATCTTACTCTAAGTAGTCTCAAATCCTTTGGGAAACAATAGAAAATTTAGGCAATTTAAAAGAATAAAATACAAATGAGGTGCTTTGTCAATCAAAAACTTAAGTAGTCAAAGTGAGATCAGATAAGCAATGAACCCTAGACGAAGTGAATTTTTTTTTGAGCCAGAGTCTAGCTCTGTTGCCTGGGCTAGAGTGCTATGGCATCAGCCTACCTCACAGCAACCTGAAACTCCTGGACTCAAGTCCTCAATTCCTCCTGCCTCAGCCTCCTGAGTAGCTGGGACTACAGGCGTTTGGCACCATGCCCAGCTAATTTTTCTATTTTTTGTAGAGACAGGGTCTTGCTATTGCTCAGGCTGGTCTCGAATTCCTGAGCTCAAGCAATCCTCCTACTTCAGCCTTCCAGAGTGCTAGAATTACAGGAGTAAGCCACCTCGCCCAGCCTGAAAACATGACTTTTAATAACTACATATTATTCTATCTTTTGAGTTTATCATAATTTCATTATTCCCATTAATAAATACATAGGTTATTTCTATGTTTTCACTATTATCAAGTTTCAATAAACTTTGTGGCCAGGCACAGTGTCTCACACCTGTAATCCCAGCAATTAGGAATTAGTGAAGCCAAAGTAGGAGGACTGCTTGAGGCCAGGAGTTGGAGACCAGCCTGGAAACATAGTGAGACCCCATCTCTACCCAAAAAAAACCCCCAAAAAACAAAAACTTTGCACGTAAATCTCTACATGAATTTCTTTGTACAGTAAAAGGCTCTAACCTGACACAATCAGGACTTGTTGGTAGGTTAAAAATATTGCTCTAAGTGAGGAATCATAAAAAATAACATATACATCCCTCAAATATTTTGCTAAAACATATTAATTCACTGTGTGTAGAAGGCCACAACCCTGTCTCTGAGTGTGGCTTCGGTGATATGACACATCATCTTTACTATATAAATTATACTCATGATACACCATTTTGCAATTTACAATGTGAGTTTCTTTACAGTGAAGCAAGAACCAGAAGATACTTGTAAAGCAATCAGTATGCAGAATACTTCTGGTAAAAATGTGTCCCAAATGGCCTATTTATTTTGCCTATATTTTACCCACCCACCCCTAATTCAATAACCATTTTAAAAGTGATTTTAGAATTTCACCTTAGCAAGTCTTTTCAAAACATTCAACCTGGTTTTCATAGAAATAATTTATTCTTTTCACACTAACTTCAGTGTTTTATATAACTAATGAAATTGTATAATCATGAAAAGTACGTGAATATAAATAGATTTCAACTGATTCTTAGTGAGACTCTAAAAAATAAAAAAATAGCCTTCAGCATTTGGAAACGGCTCAGACACAGCGAGGCCTCAGTGTTGTCTGAAGCTGGCCTGGGGCTCACAGGGAGGCCATGTTATTCTCCTGTTGGACATAAACAATCTCACAAAATATCAACATCAGACAAGGTCACTCTGAGAGTGTGTTTAAGTAAGACAAAACAAGAACACTTCAAAATTTTGTCTAAGTCCAGAAAAACAAGGTCACTGTGCACCCTGCAAACACCAAACATCCCCCTCTCCTGGCTAATATGAGTGACTGCTGCTTTAGTCTCATTCTAGTTGGCTCTCCTAACTAAGATGATTTATTAAGATACCCAAACATAGAATCACTCCACATCCTAACAGCATTCCATCCAGAACAAAGTCTTGCTTTCTTAAAACTCTCCCAAATTACCTAATGCAAGCCCCAATCCTGTAAGTGGTCCCTTCCTAACTCTTACCGAGACACTCAACAGTCCCCCATGGTGTGCATCCTCCCTCCAGGTAACCAACCAACCTGTGCAACGCAGGGGTGTTCCCAGGGGTCTGCGGCTGGGGGGCACTGACAAAACCCACTCAACTGGTGGGACGAGAGTGTCGAGACCACACCACAGAATAAGAACCCAGTCATCCCATTCAGTGTATTTACAGACAGAATGGAGGGCATCGGTTAGTCTAGATTTGGTAAAGCAAGCTTCTACTACGTATGCTTAAGTTAAATTCCTAAAAATAGAATTACTGGCCAAAAGCATAAACAAATAAGAATATATATTTGTATATTATATATAATGTAGCTATCCCTAAATTAATTAATTAATTATTTAATTTTGAGATAGGGTCTTGCTCTGCCTCCTGGGCTAGAGTACAGTGGCATGATCATATTAATAGCTCACTGCAATGTCAAACTCCAGGGCTCAAGGACTCTTGGGCTCAAGCCATCCTCTTGCCTCAGCCTCCTGAGTAGCTGGGACTACAGGAGCATGCCACCACACCTGGCTAATTTTTTCTATTTTGGTAGAGACAAGAGTCTTGCTCTTGCTCAAGCTGGTCTCGAACTCCTGAGCTCAAGTGATCCTCCTGCCTTGGCCTCCCAGAGTGCTAGGATTACAGGTGTGAGCCATCATGCCTGACCTACTTATTTTTAAGAGACAGGGTCTTGCTGTGTCTGTCGCTCAAGCTGGAGTGGAGTGGCATGATCACAGCTCACTGCAGCCTCCAACTCCTGAGCTTAAGCTATCCTTCTGTCTTCACATCCCAAGTAGCTGGTATTACAGGCATGAGCTACCACACTTGGCTAATTTTTTAAAAAAAGTTTTTGTACAGACAGGGTCTTGCTATGTTGCCCAGGCTGGTCTTGAACTCCTGGCTCAAGTGATCTTCCCACCTTGGCTTCCCAAAGTACTAGGATTATAGGCATAAGCCATTGTGCCCAGCCTATCCTTAAATTTAACTGCTTTTTATATCTATGCAACTGTTGACAATGGAAAAAATTTAAAAGTATACAAAGGCCAGTGTAAAAGCAGTGTACTATAGTTTTTCTTCCTTCTATAGTATATTTTTTCTGATTTAAAAAATTATAAAACATAATTTAAGATATAACATTTTAATTTAATCACTTAATACTTTTATTTTTTTTTTTGGAGACAGAATCTCGCTTTGTTGCCCAGGCTAGAGTGAGTGCCGTGGCATCAGCCTAGCTCACAGCAACCTCAAACTCCTGGGCTCAAGCAATCCTCCTGCCTCAGCCTCCCAAGTAGCTGGGACTATAGGCATGTGCCACCATGCCCAGCTAATTTTTTCTATATATATTAGTTGGCCAATTAATTTCTTTCTATTTAGAGTAGAGACGGGTCTCGCTCTTGTTCAGGCTGGTTTCGAACTCCTGACCTTGAGCAATCCGCCCACCTCGGCCTCCCAGAGTGCTAGGATTACAGGTGTGAGCCACCGCACCCGGCCAATACTTCTATTTTTTAGTAAAGACTATAGTGAATATTCTAGAACATCCTGACTATATAACTTTTTTCATGATTTAAAAAAATGTTTAATTGTGGTAAAATACACATAAAATTTACCATCTTAACCATTTTTATGTGTATAGCTCAGTACTGTTAAATAAATTCACAATGTTGTGCAACAAATCTCTAGAACTTTTTCATCTTGCAAAATTGAAACTCTACATCCATTAAACAACTTCCCATTTCTTCCTTCTCCTTGCCCCTTACAACTATCATTCTGCTTTCTGACTTTATGTATTTAACTAATCTAGACGCCTCGTGTCAGTAAAATCAGACGTATTTTTCTTTTTGTGACTGGATTATTTCACTTGGCACAATGTCCTCAAGGTTCATTACGCTGTAGCATCTGTCAGAATTTCCTTCCTTAAGCCTGAATAATATTCAATTGTACGTAAATATCACATTTTGTTGATCCATTTATCTATCGATGGATGGTGTTGGGGCGGTGTTAACGCCATTGCAAGATGGCGCCGCTCTGGTCACACCCATACTACAAGACTGATAAACAGGGTGAACCGCGCAGGTGTAGGGGCTTTTTCCTGTCTCTCATCAAGTATGCTAATGAGGCTCTTGCGTGAGCCAATCAGATTCTGCCTAATGACTTAGTGCCTATATAAGCCCGCTCCGAGAGCTCCTCGGCGTCTTCCGCATGTAACCATTAAGCAATCCCATTAAAGCGCTGTCAGAAGAACTCCGTTGCCGCGTCTTCCTTGCTGGCGAGGCGGGCGCGACAGTGAGGTATTAACCTCATGACCATTAGAATGGGTACTATTAGGCCGGTGGCTCACTCCTGTAATCCTAGCACTCTGGGAGGCCGAGGCGGGCGGATTGCTCGAGGTCAGGAATTCGAAACCAGCCTGAACAAGAGCGACGCCGTCTCTACTATAAATAGAAGAAATTAATTGGCCAACTAAT